CCCTCAAAGATACCTGGTCTCTCTCGTTCCCATTACCCTCAGTAGGGCTTGTGGGTGGCAAGAAGTTTGAGGGTGCTGTAAAGTACCTTCTGCTGCCGTTGGATTTAAGTATTCACTGAGGGTTTGGTGGGGGGAGGTGTTGAAAATTAGTGTTTTCTCAGCTATCACTGCACTTCATAAGGTCTTTGGGGTTTTGGCTGAGTCTTTTGGATTGCCTCAACTAAAAATGACATTGTGTTGGCAATGTTTGAACACAGAATAGGCATATTTTTGGTATTGTGTATATATAGTCAGATGTAAACTAATATAATCAAATCTGATAAGTCAGGAGTAAATTTAGCACTAATTTAATGTTATTGTTGATGATGCTGTTCCATCTGCCTAACCTTCTGTGTAATGTTCACCATTCCAAAGTCCCTGATGCTTTCCAGGTTGAAAACAAGCGTGGCTCAGGTTGCCACGAAGACGACGAATCCCACGCTTGGGAAGCTGTGCTGCGTGTGTAGCAGTGCTGGAAGCGTACAGCACGAGACTTGCAGGGTGGCTGTGGAGTCACGGATGGTTCTGTACATTGGTTAATATTTCCGTGCTTCTTTTCTCCTCTTTTGGAGAGAAAACTACTGGATTGGGACTGTGGAAAGTTATTGCAGACAAATACGGACATCATATGCTTTTGAGAGCTGGAGACAAAGGAAAGCACATTTTACGATTGTTTATTTACTGCATCCACTGGTTGGCACGTGGCTTCATCTGTTAATTAATCTGATTGACCTGCTGGCTTCTGCCAAAGGGATCGTTTTTCTCTCCTCTCCCACCACAACCTCTGTCCTCCTTAGTACGATGCAGGAATGGGGTGAGTGTCGGGCTGCGCAGCCACGGCCGTGGTGGGTCTGACGGAGGGAAGAGGGATGAACTGGTGTCTCGTAGGGGCAGGAGAGGGACTGCCCTGTGCAGCAGCGGGGCTCAGCTGGACAGGAGCACACACGTGGCATGGAGCCACTGGTTGCCAAGCTGGCACTGCAGCAGCCCGAGGACGTTCATACAATCGGAGCCTGCAATATCGCGCGTTCTCCTATCGTTCCGTTTAGTTTTGACGAGTAGGTAAAAATCACACAGGGCGCCTGCACACGTGGTCTAAAACACGTTCAATTACTTCACTGTTTGTTTTTTGATAATGCTATTTTTGTACGTGCTGCAGTCCGTTTTGTTCCTCCCACCGTTTTCCCACCTTTGTTCGATTGCTTTGTAAAAGCTGGGGGAAGGATGGCACGTTCTCCGCTTTTAACTTCCTCTGTCTGCCTTTTGAGACAACTTTTCAGAAAAATCTTGTTGCTTGCCAACATTTGCGAAGAATAAAATCAAATTTGTTTCAAAACCGAGCTCTTTGTGTCTATTGTTGGGACAGAATGAAAGAAAATGCTTGGGTTTACTTTGTGTTTTACTACTTTTTGAGGTTTGCAAGTTGATGTAAGCTGAAAGAGTTTCAGCTTCAAACAATGTGCAGGCTTGACTGGGAAAGCACAGAGAAGGTAAGAAATAATGTGGAGAGAGCGTAGGTTGTCATTCCAGTGAAGGATCAAAAGGAAACATTAAGTCCCTCATCTCAAACTCCTCTCTCTCTCTGTGCACTTATTGCTTTAATCCACTGGAGCGATTCTTAGCTTCTGTCCCAAATTTTTTCCTTCTGTACTAACCCAAGGTCCAAGAGCGCTGATGTTTTTTCCAGCATCTCTTTTATCTCCAGTTTCTCCTACAAAGAGAAATTAGTAGGTAAATACATGAGTGAAAGTATGGAGAAGGTGAATCTGGAGACACTTTTGAGGAAAACCAGTGGGAGGCTTGGCAGACGGGCTCAGCACAAGCACCCCCAGGCAGGGAGGAGAAGATGGGTGGGAGCGGCGAAGCGGCGGGTGCTGGGGTGAGGCTGGTGGTGAGGGGAACCAGGAGGCACTGCTGGAAAGGAATTTAAGCTGCATAAACATCTGGTGAAAGCCCAGCTTCCCCCAAACCTGTCACTTCAGTTACACACTGTCCCGAGTTTAACCAGGAACAAAGGGAAGTTTGGATTTACAGATTATATCCACTGAGCTGGTGGTTCTCGCAGGGCTGTCCTGTTGTGGTTCGACCAGCAGCACCAGGAATGTCTCCCAGCAATCTGCTTTATTCATCAGTTTGATTAGGAGAATGTTCTCTGGACTGGGCTTCAAAGCATCCACAAGATACAGTTCTGGCTTAACTCGTGGTGCCAAAATCCAATTTGCTGTTAGAAGGCTCAAATTCAGTGTATGAAATGGGCTTCATCCTGCTTTGGGGCTCAAAACACAACACCCAACTTCGTTTCTCCTACCTGACAGTTGTCAAAA